GCTCACTGCAAACTCTGCCTCCCCGGTTCACCCCATTCTCCTGCCTCAGCCTCTTGTGTAGCTGGGACTATAGGCACCCACCACCAGGCCCGGCTAATTTTTTGTATTTTTAGTAGGATGGGTTTCACCATGTCAGCCAGGATGGCCTCAATCTCCTGACCTCGTGATCCACCCACCTCTTCCTCCCAAAGTGCTGCTGGGATTACAGGAGTGAGCCACCACGCCTGGCCCACATCTATTTTTTGAAATAGTATGATTGACCCACCCAAGGAGATCCCCATTGTCATGCTCTTGTATGATGTCATCCCATGACTGCAGGTGAAACTTGTGACTTGCTTCTACCCAACAGAATATGACAAAGTTGATTTTTTTTCTTTGTTTTATTTTGAATAGCTTCTATGGCTATGTTTTCAAGTTTATCAATCTTTTCTTCTGCAAGGTCTAATATGCCATTAATCCCACTCAGTGTATTTTTTATCTCAGATATTATAGTTTTTGTCCCCCAAAAATTGGACTGGAATTTAAAAAAATTTTCTGTCTTTACTTAACTTCTGAATACATGAAATACCATTATAATAATTGTTTTATTGTCCGCGAATACTAACTTTAGCATTGGGTCAGGTCTGCGTCACTTTCAACTGATTGATTTTTTTCTCTTTGTTATAGATTGTATTTTCCTGGATTTATCCATGGCTTGTTACCATTGATTGGATGTCAGGCATTACCTGTTTTATGATAGATATTTTTTATTTCTACAAATTTTCTTGAGCTGCTTTTTCTAGGATGCAATACGGTTACTTGGAAATACTTTTATTCTTTGGGATCTTACTTTTAAAATTTGTTAGGCAAGACAAGAACAGTTAATTTTTCTTCATGACCAAGGCAAAATCCTCCTGAGCACACTACAGAATGCTCCTATAAATTATGAGGTAATTATAAATGATGAGACTGGAGAATCTGGCTGGTGGGAAGGTGCTATTCCTGGCCTTGAGTCCTTTTCCCTTTACTCCTTTTGGAATGCTTCTTTCCCTAGTCTCAGGAAATCTCATGGACGTGCTTATCGGTACTTTGCTGAATATTTGAGTGGGACCCTCTGCAGATCTCTCTCTTCTGTCCTGTGAACTCTGTTGCCTTGTTCTTCCCAGGCCCTCAACTCCATCGTTTAAACTGAGGAAGTCTGCTGGCCTCTAGCTTGGTTCCTTTTTACTATGCCAAGGATGGGAACTCTCTCAAGGCAGTAGCTAAGGTTATTGTAGAGGTGACTTTTTTTTTCTCATCTCTCAGGGATCATTGTCCTTCAATGCTGATGTCCAATATCTTGAAAATCATTGTTCTACAAATTTTACTTTTTGGGGGTTGTTTTAAGCAGAAAAATAAATCCAGTGCCTGTTATTTCATCTTTATGTCTTGCAGTTTTAACATGTGGTGCTCAGAAGACAGACCAGTAAATAAAAGAAAATGCATTGTGTCTGGTAATACAGCTAGATAAGAAGGAATCTGTATGTACGAGAAACACTTAGTAAGTTTCTTGTTTCTCTGTTACCTTGATCATTTTTCCTAATAATCAAAGTCTGCAAGATTGAATGTGTAGATATATCAGTGCTTTGGACATTTTATTATGCTTTGATGTTATCTTCGTATTTTTTTCTTCATCTTCCTGTGAAAGGATATGACTTCTGTTTGCTCGAATAAAAGAAAAGAAGGCCCGACAGCTAGGAATTCTTAAATGGAATGGATTGTAATTGAAAAGTACTCTCCAATTCAATCAGTTTTTGGTTATGCAAGACACAGAGTGGAGAAAAGGTACTCTTCACGTATGCACGTGTACGTGTAGGAACACATCATTAGGACTGTGTATTTTCAGATTACAAGTTGTAGAGTTTCCCATTTTGCCTGTGGCTTTTATTCCAGATGTCCAAAGCCCTGCAGCTCACATTCCTCACATCTTTATCAAAACCTATATAATCTCTTACAGGAAGAGTTACTAGCTCAATGTGAAGTGCTGTCAGGGATGAAAAATGTTACTGTGGGAAGTTGCTCTTGCTGGGTCCGAGACTTGACTGAATGAGCCTCAGCTGCAGCATCTGTGGTCTCGATCTAGCTTCTCTCATTGCTTTCTTCCTCCTCCCTCAGCCGGCCCCAGGCAGACCTTCCTGTCTCACAGTTCCCTGAGAGCTGTACCATTCCGAATCCAGTGGATAATTCATTCTGCTTTAAAGAGAAAGAAGGAGGAAAAGTTTGTCTTTCGTTTCCTTCTTAGCTAATTTTAATTTTAATAAGGCTTTCTGCTGCTGGGGCTGCCCCTGAGATGAGGGTCCATCTAGAATAACTAGAAGGGTAGATGACTTTCTGCTCATGAGCTCTGAAGGTTTATCTTTCAGCCTGCACAGGTCCTGCAACACCTGGGTATCTCTGTGTGGAGCCTCTAGTGTCTGAGGCAATGCTTAAGACTGATGCTATCACGATGTTGATTGACAGGAACTTCTTCTACCACGAATATGATGAGAGAAAAGCTGGCCTCTCTGGCCTTTCTGCTCTTGCCTGCCACTGGCATCTACTTCACTGACTTTATTTTATTTTTTAGAACTGGAAGACCTGCAAACATCAAGTCAGCTTATGCATGCTGGTGCACTTAAAAAGGTTTAAAGGCATGAATAACAAAGATGAAAATAAGAGAGCTGCACACAGCATGCAAATGTGGCAAAATTTGTGAATAATCACAGGAAAGGGATATGTCAGAGAAAATTCTTTACATCTCGTCTCTCGCGTTTGGATCTGTGGGAAGCAGGGGGCAGTGTGTCTGCTGCTGTTCTGAACACAATTCCTGTCTTTGATGTTGGGTGCTCGTGACCCTATGTGCCAGCTTATTTTTCACTCCCTGGATGGCCTCAGAGATTTCACGGTTTCTGTGATGGGAAGCTTAGAGGATTCCTGAGACATCCTGCAGCTGTGCTTGTTCTGGGTCAGCAGCCCAAGCTGTAACTTTGCATCTACGTAACCATTTTGGCAAAAACAATGAGGGTTTTTATTCATTTCTATCACAAGCGCCCTGCATTGTCCTGACATGTCTTCCTCCTGAGCCCTTCAGTGGAAATCTTATTCCCTGGTTCTAGTGGGGTGTCTTTTAGTTGCCCCCACTTACAGGCCCCCCAGTTGTGCTCTAACCTCATGTGGAAGACAGGCAGGAGGATGGGGTGTTAGGGTGTAGAGTGGGGCTTCTGTTGTGGGGTTCCATGGCTACAGTTCCCACAGCTGTCCTTCACATCTGACCTGGAGCCAGGAGACTAAATAGATACAAGAACCAGGTTTCCTCTTTTATTTTGTATAGTTATACAAATTTTGTTTATCAGAAAAATCTATATCACACAAACACAGATGTACAGTAAGTCCTCACTTAATGTTCTAAACAGGTTCTTGAAAACTGCAACTTTAAGTGAAGCAATATTGCTATACACCAAACAAAACTCTTATTTATATCAATTAAACTCTGGTAAAGTTAGTTTTCTTTTTCCTTTCTTTTATTTTTTTTTGAGGCAGAGTTTCACTCGTTGCCCAGACTGGAGTGGATCACTGCAACCTCCACCCCCCTGCTGAAGTTTTAATTAAACTATTCCCTGCATTCTTTCCCACACACACTTTAACTACTATGTCAGTATTGGGGTTCAAGTGATTCTCCTGCGTCAGTCTCCCGAGTAGCTGGATTACAGGTCCCCACCACCATGCTTGGTTAATTTTTTGTATTTTTAGTAGAGACAGGGTTTTGCCATGTTGACCAGGCTAGTCTCGAACTCCTGACCTCCTGATCTGCCCACCTCAGGCTCCCAAAGTGCTGGGATTACAGGCGTGAGCCACTGTGTCCAGCCCTAAAATTAGTTTTCTTAAATTATATATTGCTTCACTTATAGTTTCCAAGAAGCTATCAACAATGTTAAAAGAATTTACTAAAAACATATATAACTTATATAGGGGGGTGTGTGTGTGTGAGACATATAGATAGATAGGTCTCAATGACAGAATCTCAGGCTTCCTACTAAATAAGACAGAATTATAAGATAATAGTTATTAAGAAATAAGCTAACGATTGAGAGCATAATATGTTGGCAATGTTCTAAGCTGGTTAATGACATAGTGCACTTAAGAAATCTAGAAGATGAGTAGATACTTTAATCCAGTGACCAGCCCTTTGAATGCGAGGACTTTTTTTGCTTATCTATGGTGGTGAATATCACAAAAATTATTCATGAACCTTTGTTTTAAGTTTATCAACTATCATTAATGTTGGTGTATTTTATGTGTGGCTCAAGACAATTCTTCTTCCAATGTGGCCCAGGGAAGCCAAAAGGTTGGAAACCTGTGCTTTAAACTATATTTAATTTGGGAATTTGCACATATAGAGTTTAAATCCCAAATCTCAGTTTATACTAAAGCAATAACATTTTGAAATGACGTTATAATTTTTAGTATTTAGAAAAACGTTTATTGTTCTGATAAAACTGCTGAGTGAGAATTTTTGTAGAATTATATTTGCAACCTCTATAGGATTAAAAATCCTAAGCAGAAGAGAGGCAACATCTGTCCCTAGTGTTCCTGGGATTTCTGAGCCAAATTCCAATATGTCCACTACTCACCTTACACATTTTAGACATCATCCAAAATGAATATTTGAAAAAAATACTTTGACATAGAGCTCCTCAATATACACATATTCCTATGTCTCCAAAAGCAATGGAACCGCAGCCAGATCATGCAGCCCCTTACAAATGTTAAAGTGGACATTGGTTTTCCCTGTGAACTTGAAGGGAGATCACTAAAGAAAAAGGAGAATTCTTACAAGATTTAACAGGATGAGACAGAAGATGCCCCATTGGTGAATATGAGAAAAAAGTGCAGCCTTTTCAGAAATTATTTTCATAGCAGCAGAGCTTCCCAAACTACATTTTAAGGCCTGACTTCCTTCTTGACCATGGTCCCCTTGCCTGTGTCCTCTATTTCATTCACTGTCACCTACCTGGGGGTTTGGCTACTGTCTCATATATCTTCATATTGTAGGGTTCTTTTCTTTGCTCCAGACAGGTGACCATGTCTGGGTTACAGATAGCAACACCCAGGTTTCTGTAGTTCTGCAACATCACATCTCTATATAAATTCTGCTGGGCAGGGTCCCGGCATTTCCACTCTTCTGCAGAGAATTCTATGGCCACATCCTTGAATGTTAGGAGTTCCTCTCATTAAAGTATCTGGAAGTCCTCATGCTTGACCTTGGCCTCACTGTAATATGTGAGGAACTTAATTTAAAAAACAGAAATGTTTCCACCCAGAACAATAGACAGGATCTGTGGGTAGGGAACAGGTGATGATTTATCTTCAAATTGTCCATGTGATCCTATTGGAAGACTGGGCTGAGAGTCACTTAGCTAAGCACTGCCTCTCAAGCTTCAATGTGCATGCAAATTATCTGATATTCTAGGCCTCACTGTAATCAAATTTTGCAGGTTTGAAAACAGTCCATGAATTAGCTTCTTATAGCAAGTCTCCTGTTAATGCTGATGTTTTTCCTCCTAGACTCATTATATACCACTTGGCTAGAGAAAGCAGGCACAGCACACGGAGTCCCTTACCCCAACACCCTTATCATAACACAAATACTTTTCATCCGAAGACAAGACCACCAATCATCATCCTGAAGCATGGCATTCTCTGCAGGCCCTTTAAAGTTTACAGAGGCTGGAGATGGTGTCAAAAATAATGGAACGCTTCATGAATTTGCCTGTCATCCTTGCGCAGGGGCCATCCTAATCTTTGTAACGTTCCAATTTTAGTATATGTGTTGCCGAGGGGAGCACCAGATTCACTTTTTAAAAAAACACTTTTATTTTAGGTTCAGAAGTGCACGTGCAGGTTTGTTATACAGGTAAATTGCGCGTCACGGGGGTTTGGTGTATGGATCATTTAATCACCAAGGTGATAAGCATAGTACCTGATAAGTAGTTTTTTGATCCTCTCCCTCCTCTCACCCTACACCCTCAAGTAGATCCAGATATCTGTTGTTCTCTTCTTTGTGTCCATGTGTACTCAGTGTTTAGCTCCAACTCATAAGTGAGAACATGCAGTGTTTGATTTCCTGTTCCTAAGTTAGTTGACTTAGGACTATGGCCTCCAGCTCCATCCATGCTTCTGCAAAGGTCATAATCTCACTCATTTTTATGACTATGTAGTATTCCGTGATGCATATGTGCCACATATTCTTTATCCAGTCTACTGTTGGTGGGCATTTAGGTTGATTCCCTGACTTCTATTGTGTAGTGCTGTGGTGAACACATACATGCATGTGTCTTTATGGTAGAATGGTTTCTATTCCTCTGGGTATATTCTCAGTAATGGGATTGCTGGGTTGAATGGTACTTCTGTTTTTTAAATTTTTATTTATTTATTTTTATTATTATACTTTAAGTTCTAGGGTACATGTGCAGAACTTGCAGATTTTTTACATATGTATACATGTGCCATGTTGGTTTGCTGCGCCCATTAACTCATCATTTACATTAGGTATTTCTCCTAATGCTACCCCTCCCCCACCCCCCAACCCCACAACAGGCTCTGGTGTGTGATGTTCACCGCCCTGTGTCCAAGTGTTCTTATTGTTCAATTCCCACCTATGAATGAGAACATGCGGTGTTTGGTTTTCTGTCCTTGTGATAGTTTGCTCAGAATGATGGTTTCCAGCTTCATCCATGTCCCTACAAAGGACATGAACTCATCTTTTCTTAGGGCTGCACAGTATTCCATGGTGTATATGTGCCACATTTTCTTAATCCAGTCTATCATTCATGGACATTTGGGTTGGTTCCAAGTATTTGCTATTGTGAATAGTGCCACAATAAACATAGGTGTGCACATGTCTTTATAGTAGCATGATTGATAATCCTTTGGCTATATACCCAGTAATGGGATTGCTGGGTCAAATGGTATTTCTAGTTCTTGATCCTTGAGGTATTGCTACACTGTCTTCCACAATGGTTGAACTAGTTTACACTCCCACCAACAGTGTAAAAGCATTCCTGTTTCTCCACAGTCCCTCCAGCACCTGTTGTTTCCCAACTTTTTCATGATCACCATTCTAACTGGCATGAGATGGTATCTTATTGTGGTTTTGATTTGCATTTCTCTGATGGCCAATGATGATGAGCATTTTTTCATGAGTCTGTTGGCTGCATAAACGTCTTCTTTTGAGAGTGTCTGTTTATATCTTTTGCCCACTTTTCCATGGGGTTGTTTGATTTTTTCTCATATATTTGTTTAAGTTCTTTGTAGATTCTGGATGTTAGCCATTTGTCAGATAGATAGATTGCAAAAATTTTCTTTCATTCTGTAGGTTACCTGTTCACTCTGATGACAGTTTCCTTTGCCGTGCAGAAGCTGTTTAGCTTAATTAGATCCCATTTGTCTATTTTGGCTTTTGTTGCCATTGCTTTTGGTGTTTTAGTCATGAAGTTCTTGCCCATGCCTATGTCCTGAATGGTATTGCCTAGGTTTTCTTCTAGGGTTTTTATGGTTGTAGGTCTAATATTTAAGTCTTTAATCCATCTCGAGTTGATTTTTGTATAATGTGTAAGGAAGGGATCCAGTTTCAGCTTTCTACATATGGCTAGTCAGTTTCCTCAGCACCATTTATTAAATAAGGAATCTTTCCCCCATTTCTTGTTTTTGTCAGGTTTGTCAGAGATCGGATGGTTGTAGATGTGTGGTGTTATTTCTGAGGACTCTGTTCTGTTCTATTGGTTTATATCTCTGTTTTGGTACTAGTACCATGCTGTTTTGGTTACTGTAGCCTTGTAGTATAGTTTGAAGTCAGGTAGCATGATGCTTCCAGCTTTGTTCTTTTTGCTTAGGATTTTCTTGGCCATGTGGGCTCTTTTTTGGTTCCATATGAACTTTAAGGTAGTTTTTTCCAATTCTGTGAAGAAAGTCAATGGTAGCTTGACAGGGATAGCATTGAATCTACAAATTACCTTGGGCAGTATGGCCATTTTCACAATATTGATTCTTCCTATCCGTGAGCATGGTATGTTCTTCCATTTGTTTGTGTCCTCTTTTATCTCACTGAACAGTGGTTTGTTGTTCTCCTTGAAGAGGTCCTTTACATCCCTTGTAAGTTGGATTCCTAGGTATTTTATTCTCTTTGTAGTAATTGTGAATGGGAGTTTACTCATGATTTGGCTCTCTGTTTGTCCGTTATTGGTGTATAAGAATGCTTGTGATTTTTGCACATTGATTTTGTATCCTGATACTTTGCTGAAGTTGCTTATTAGTCTAAGGAGATTTTGGGTTGAGACGATGGGGTTTTCTAAATATACAATCATGTCATCTGTAAACAGGGACAATTTGACTTCCTTATTTCCTATTTGAATACACTTTGTTTCTTTCTCTTGCCTGACTGCCCTGGCCAGAACTTCCAACACTACGTTGAATAGGAGTGGTGAG